GTACAGTTGCTGTAGGATTTGCTCTGTAGTGGATAGGGTGGCATGGTGTGGAATGTGGACCGAGAAAGCTCCCAAGCGAAGTTCATCGGAAGTCAAAGTGCAAGAAATCGAGCAAGGTAAAAGCTTCCCCTGGCTGTGTCGCAAGTTGGAGGTATGCAGTATGGCATTCCCCCGCCACTCTTCGGCCTTTTTGCCAAAGATAGCTTGCAACTCTCCCAAGGAAAGGTGTTGTTTCCCCGGGTCGCATATGATCTCTTGGATGAACACGACCAGGGTGCCACAAAAGGGTCGAATTCGTTGTCGCCGAAGTGCGAGGATGACTTCAAGTGCTTTAGCCGCTGAAAGTCCCCCCACATTCCAACTAATGGCATGCATTTGGTCTGTCGCGGGCCCGGAGGAGTCTCGGCCCCGCCTTGTTGTCCGTTCTCACTGGAGAGCTTTGCGGAGCTCCCCCCATTTCTGCACGGCCGTCTCCTCGGAGATCCCGATCTGCCGGGCCAGCGAGCCAAGGTGAACCCATCCGGACTTCTCGATGGAGGCGCCTTCAGGTGCCGAGGTAACCCCCGAGGCGACTTTGATGCTATTGTACCAGAGGTTCGCTGTGCCATACTCGACGTCAATATGACGTACGTCCCCACCTTCTTCGATGATGAGTCTCTTGACCTTTCCAGCGAGTTGTGCACGTTTGCGACGCTCGGGGCTCTGGCTCATGGCTGCGAAAAAATAGCGCTGTCCCCCTTCAGGTCGTTGGCCAGTTACCACTTTGGCTGCCCGAATGGTACGAAGTGCTTCTTGGACGCGGGCTCGTTGCTCCTCCTCTGTTTCCCCCTCCAGTTTGATGAGTGGGACGAGGGCGAACCCCCGTCGCAGTCCGGGGACGAAGGCTTGGCTGAGGTCCAGGTTGATGTTGAGCTCGGTCAGGTGCTTTTTGACGAGGCTTAATGTCTCCTCGTGGTGCTGGTCGGCATCCCATCCCCCGACCACCAGTGCTGGTCGGGGGTTTCCCCCTTCGTTTTCGGAAGTCCGTGTACTCGACATAGAAAAGTTGGCTTTGGCGAACTTCCCCTCCAGGAGCTCGAGGCGCTGTAGCACGGATTGCTGCCTTTCGTCCACCTTGCGAACACTTTGTTCCATAACGCAGTGTCTGTCGGTCATTGCCTCAAGGAGCTTGGTGGTGTTGTTGACATGTGTTTCAACTGTCAGCTCCACGGTGGACATGCGGTTGTTGATGGTGTCCATGTCTTCTCGAACTTGTGCCACAATCTCCTCACGGTTCTCCTTGAGAGCGGCCAGGAGTGTGGTGAGGGTCAATGGTCGTTCGGCGTCCTCATCGACTGCTGGTCGCTTCCTTCCGCCGGCAGGGGCGGGCTGCTGGTCCCCCTGTGTGGGTGAAGAAGGCGGTTTTGCCGTGCCTGCCATTGCACAGTCAGGTAAGGGTCCGCTTCCCTCGCCCAGCGTAGGTGAAGCAGAAGTGCAGGGAGAGGTAATCCCCCGCCCACGTAGGGTCGCCGTTTGCAGCAAAGGCGCGGTTGTAGATGTCCCGAAGGTACAGCGTGTGGCCACCGTACAGGAGTGAAGTTGACGATGTCGCAGCCGTCAGGGCCGAAGGTGATCTCGCGTAGTTTTTCAAACTCCCCCGAGAGGTCGATCGCGGGGCACGTTCTCTCACTCTCTTTGGAACGCGGCCGGGTTGCTCCCCCGACTAGTTTACGGGCTTGGGGCTCGAACCACTCGCGTCTTGAGCCAAAATGGCTTGAGCCAAAAAGGCACTCTCTCTCTCTCTCTCTCTCTCTCTCTCTCTTTCGCCAGGCTTGAGGGGCAAGCCCCCCACCAGGGGCAGCCCCCTGCTGGCTGGATGCATGGTATTACATGCGGTAGGCTAGTGATGGGAGCATTCAACATCACCTTGAATTGACAACACGACTCCAGTAGTGCATCCCCTTCGTAAGACCTTGTGTAGGTGATGTTGTTGACACCCCTGTGAGCTGCCCCGGACAGCTGTTCTGTCTCGGTCTGCCGCGCCCCGATGATTTCGTGGATGGTTACCATACAACTGGATAGGGACCATATTTTGCTGTGCAGTGCTGGGGTTAGGCGACAGTAGGCTTCGCTCCACAACTAGTTGCACGTGTCCCTGGAGCATGTGGCAGTGGGTTGCGCATAACAGGTGTGCCAGTGCGATGCTCAGGGAGACTTCACTGCTGCCCCTCGTAAAACAAAAAAAACAGGCATGACGATACCTTGCTGGACTATATTGCCTGTCACAATGAGTCATGTGTACTTGGAGGTGCTACTGCAAGTACGAGTGGCCGCCCCTGGTGTTGTAACAACGAAACGACAGCAAAACATCCATGCTGGTCCACAGTACGGGCTGGCCTTGTGCGGGGCTACCTCTACCACTGTGCTCTGCCCCTGGTATATTATCGGAATACAGGCCGTGGTGAAGCAACACAGCTGTAACATGTTGTAACAGAGAACCGCGCTCTCTCTCTCTCTTGCGTGCTTGCTTGCTGACGGGTATGGGGGCCGAAACCCCTGGCCCGAAGGCCTACCCACACAACGGTGCTCTTTTTCTCTCTCGCTTGCTTGCTACTGGGCTTGAAGAAGCTGCAGCGTTCAGGCAGCTTCTCCGTGCGCGCGCCCCTGCGTCACTTGGCAGGGTATTTCCCCCCCGGTAATTTTCACCAGGAGGCTCGGCTATACATGGTACCATGCTTCCCCCGTCTGAGCATCCGACCAGAGTAGTAACACAAGCACACATCAAGCTCCCCGCTCACGACGAGGTTGCATCCGGGCAGGGAAGTGACTGAGTACATCCCCACATCTGTAGGTGCCTCTTGGCGGCTCATGTACAAGTTCGTGGTGCAACTCGAGGAAAAGGAAGGCTCTGCTGTTTATGTAAACCCGCAACAAGTTCTCCAGAATTAGCACAGTTCAGCACAACTCACAGCAAGCCACTTCCCCCGCTAGTGGACTGAAAAGCTATACATCAACGGCATCACTGTCAGATAGGCACTCACGCGTGACGGCGTTTGAGCGGAGGTCCGTCTGGACGGGCTCCCGCCGGGTGTTGTCCTTCCCCCCGCTGCAGCTTTCGGGACATGTCGATCGGCTTCGGCAGCGGCTCGTAAAACGTTTGCACTGAGCCTCCCCCTTGCGTGTTCTTCTTCGTCTCGGTCCCGTGCTGAGGGTGCATACTCCGCAGGAGGCGGCAGGCTTGCTTTTGCCGCCGGGAGTCGGATCATCATGTCCCGCACAAAGAACTGTGCGGCTGTCGAAGCTTCCTTTCTGAATCGCTTCTCCGCGTGCAGCGCCAGCTCGTATGGCTCCCCCCTCCTCTGGCTGCACTTCTTCAAACTCGTCTCTGTTGTTTGTCTGTTTGAGCTCCTGGAGGACTCTTTCTACCAGGTCTCCCCCTTGAGCAAGTCCAGCTGAACCGGAACTGGAAGCTTCCCCCTTCAGGTCGTCGGCGGTGGAGGTTGCTGGTTCCGGCAGTTCCCATTCCTTTCGCAGCGACTCCGGCGCTACTGCATCGAAGATCAGGTCCAGGCACGGTCACAGGGCCAGGTTTCCTGCAGCCCCGGCGCCTCCTCCCCCACAGGTTGTGGAGGTGTTGCGGCGGGGTGACTGCTGCCGCCGTATTGTTGGCGAGGTACCCGCTGTCGCTCTCGGTGCTTAGGAGTGAAGGTGTCTGAGGAATCCCCGCACCGTCTGCCTCTCCTGCTGCTTCTCCTCTGCCTTCTTCTTCTCCAAGACCAGTCGGGCTCGTCCTTGACTCTCGGAAGAGGCTCTTGTGCTGCGGCTAGAGTGCAAGGCTCCCCCGCTGTAGTTGTAGTTTGTTCTGCGTCCATCGTGGGTTCCACGAAAACTTCGATCACCATTTCCCCGGCACTGGTGATCGATGGGAGCGGTCTGGCTCGGTGGAGGAGGGCATAGCCCCGGCTGCACCCCCAGTTCGCGGTTGTATCTCACCCTGCAAGCGGTCCAAGCGTCTGCGGCTTCGAGAGGTCGGTCACGTAGTACACTGATCAACCCATGATACTGGTACATGTCTCCGTATATACGGAGTGACATCAGCGCCAGATAGGCCGCCTCCATCATCTGTGTAACCACTCGCTTGGTTCCCCCGCTGGTGAGCCGGGTATACATTCCCCCACGCCGGGGCTTCTTCTTCTATAAAAAATTTTCTTCCAGCTTTGTCATAGACCAGGCGCCACGATATATCCCCCGGACTGTCCGCCTCATTGTTTGCCTCTGCGGGGCGGTCCCCCGGAGGGGATAATCATCCTCGCTCACTGGCGAAGTGCTGGAAGACTCGTCATCTTCGGAGCTGCTGTGGTCCTCCCCCACATGCGAGGTCGGCGAAGCTGTTCTCTCTCTCTCGCTCTCTCTCTCTCTCTTTGGTTTGCTCCGGGGTGTGGGTCGCAAGCTCTCTCTCTCTCTCTCTTTGCTTTGCTAGGGGCTTGGAGCGGGAGCAGGCCTCCCTCCCTCTCTGTCTCTCTCTCTCTCTCTCTCTCTCTCTCTCCCTCTCTCTCTCTCTCTTTCTTTCTGCCGGGCTTAGGGGTCACCGTTGTGACCCTCAGGCTTTCAGCCCTCTCTCTCTCTCTCTCGCTCTCTCTCTCTCTCTCTGTGTCTCTCTCTGTCTGTCTCTCTCTCTCTCTCTCTTTCTGCCGGGCTTAGGGGTCACCGTTGTGACCCTCAGGCTTTCAGCCCTCTCTCTCTCTCTCTCGCTCTCTCTCTCTGTCTCTCTCTGTCTCTCTCTGTCTCTCTCTGTCTCTCTCTGTCTCTCTCTGTCTCTCTCTGTCTCTCTCTGTCTCTCTCTGTCTCTCTCTCTCTCTCTCTCTCTGTCTCTCTCTGTCTCTCTCTGTCTCTCTCTGTCTCTCCCTCTCTCTCTCTCTCTCTCTCTCTCTCTCTCTCGCTTGTATATGTATATATGTATATAAATGGGATTACTTGCGAAACTCGATTGCAGGGATCCTTCCCAAACCCGGCCAGGACACGAGTGAAGCTCAGCCAGCTCCTCCGACGGCTCAGGGAAAGGAAAGCGTGGAGGATGAGGCCCGCGACCTAAACTCACTCTTGTCTTATGTTCCTACGAACGGTTAAGTACCAACGAACAAATTCCGTGGCATCAATGACCGACTGGCTTGGATGGAAGCTCAGCTGCGCGCTGGGACGGCGACAAGGCAGAAAACCTGTTTCCAATTGCCTTTTATCAGCGGCAGAACAAGAAGCAGAAGGCAAAACCTTGGTGTCAACTCTGCAAGTTCTGTGCACTGCATGCTTACCATGGTGTCCAGTGCAGGCCCGCATCTTGGCTGTCTGTGTGCAGCTACCGTTCATTCAACTCCATGCCAATTCCATGAGCAAGCCACACTATGGGCAAGAACAGCAGGGCGATGCAGCCGATCATGGACTCCAACCTGGATGCGCAATTCTCAACAACCCATTCCTTCAAACTGGTAGAAACATGAATAAGAACCGAGTAGACCAAGTCCTCCAAACCTGTCAAAACTCCGTGTATGTGCTTGCCGGTATGCTCCTTGTCGAAGCACCAGCTAACGTACAATCTACCAGTGTTGCTGTTCAGGTTCCCTTGGACAGGGATGTGCGAAGGAAGTGCTCCTCGCCTTGCAAGTGTATGGCCCCGCGTCAAATTTGCTTGTGCGTGCCCTCTCATAGCAGCAACTGAAGCCCAGTGGCGGCACGCGGAAAGGTCTCCGAAGGTTCGGGGAGACCCGTCGCAAGTGCAGGAAGGCCTTGCAGAAGCGGATTTGCTGCTGCTGCTAAAAGGTGCTTTGACCTCAAGGAATGTCAACATGCAGGACGCTTCGCCACGGAATACTGCAGCAGCACAGCACCAGATGTCCATGGACAAAAAACGGATCGAGAGAAAACACACGCCCGCGATCACTGGAATTGGAAACTAATGCGGCTTGTGTGGCAAAGAACTCCAGGAGCTGCGCTTGACAGTAGATGCCTGAGAATGCCCGACGCCAGTCAACCCTCCAAATGCTGGCCAGCAGCCACGGATATTGCAGTTCTCGCCGTCGACTGCTTATTGGTTTCGGCGGGAGCGGGCAAGGTCGGGCGGGCACAGCGGGCCAGGCACGGTGTAAGATCTGCAATGCTCTGACCTGATTGCAAACGAAGGGGGCTTTTCCGCCGCCATTGGCAACGGGTGACTGGGAGAAACATCTGTCAAGTCTTCAGATAAGTCAGAATCGGTGGAAATTGACCGCACTTTGTCACCGGAAGCTTGCCTTTCGCAAGCAACTTTTCTCGCACAGCTTGGGTCGGTGGGGATAGTTGATGTGCTTAGGGCTGCTTAGGGTACGAGTTTCATCCAGGTCCAGGGTGGGCATTTAAACATCCCGGGTTCCGCGTTAAGCTGCGGCCGAGCTGCCATTCAACAAGTCCTCGGAGGGGAAATTAGCCGTTGAAGTCAGAAAAGCGGCCGTTGGCAAGAATAGCTGGCAGTGGGTGCGTGAGGTTTCCCGCTTCGGTGGAAAAAACTGCATGGTATGATTACGCACTTTAGCCCAGCTCGCAGGTGAACGTTGGCCACCTAAGGGGCCTTTACGAGACGGAGCTTGGAGCTTGCCTGATGGAAGGGAGAGAAGGGAGAGAGAGCGATCGAGAGGGAGACGGAGAGCGCAAGCGAGAGACAGAGAGGGTTGAGAATACAGAGACTCACCTGCCTTGAAGGCGAACCGATTCTATTTACATGACCGAGACGTTCGCAAGAAACGTTGCGAACGTCTCGGTAAATGCATGGATGCCCCAAGCCAGTGAAATAATCAAGCGGGCTTCCCAGCCGTCGAGCATTTTGTGCCAAGTCTCCACGATTGAAATGAAGTCCGAAGTGCTGAGAGCCAAGATGATGATGAGCCTGAGACCATCTCAAACTTTATGTTTGAGATACACATACAGCTGCACTTGAATTGGAAGCTTCTCAGCCCGGAACCCCATCGCCAAACCAACATAAGGCGTGTTGTGGCCTAAGCCGTCATCTGTGCACAGTGTACAGAAGCCTATACTATGGGGGAAGCGTTGTCGGCCAAAACGCTGCTGTCATCTGCTGTCGCACCCTTTTCTCCTTATGCGCCATCTTCCCGCAGCACTCGCTTCATGCGATGCGTGAGTCCTGTGACCACATCGGGCAGCTTCTGCCGCATGTCCTCCATCTGCAGCTCACCAACAGTGACAGAACCGCCCCTCAGCAAAACTCGAGAACCATCACCGGCTTCGTCCACGATGTCCAAGCAATACACAGTTTTGACGACACCGCCGGTGCTTTACTACTGAAACATAGGCCACTCAGGGTAGATAAGCCAGCTGTACATACATATATATATATATATATATATATATATACATGAACATATACACATACACACGCAAACACGAGTAAGCATGTGTGTGTATATATACATGCACACCTGGGAACATACAAACATCCATCCATACATGGCAGCGCAGGTTCTCGATCGATTAGCTATGGGCGACCGGGTGCAGTCCTGCAGCCGACCTGGGTTGGCCGCTCACTTGTGACTTCTGTTTTGTCTCACTTGTGACTTCTCAAGCCTTGCCCGAGAGGCGGCTCACTTGTGACTTCCATTTGAGCTCACTTATGACTTGTATTTGGGCTCACTTGTGACTTCTCTGACACGCTAATCTGCAGCACGTCTCGGCAAAAGTGCTTCGAATCACTTGTGACTTCTCCGCCTTGAGACTTCTCTGGCAGAAGAATTTGCAACCCCTGTCGGCGAAAATCACTTGTGATGCCGGTTCTTCATATACGAGTTTCCTAAACATAAACACTCTTTGATGACTCCGGTTCAACATACATATATATATATATATATATATATATATACATATATATATATATATATATGTATATCTTAAACACGCTCCCTCGTTTGGCTTGTCCGGTTTACGATCGTATGTCTTAAACACGCCCCTGATTTGGCGATTGTCGTCAATCAGTTAATCATATTATCTTAAACACGCCCGCGCCCCCTCAGTTGACGATGCCGGTTCCTCATGCATCTTAAACACGACCCCTCATTTGGCGATTTCGGTTCAACACACAAAACACGGCCCCTCATCGGCGACTGGCGATTCCGGTTCAAGATATATCTTAAACATGCCCCCTCACTTGGCGATTCCGGTGCATCACATATCTTAAACAGGCCCCCTCATTTGGCATCTGGCGATGTTTGGCGATTCCGTGAAACACGCAACCTCGTTTGGCGATTCCGGTTCCCCATAGTCTTAGATGCGCCCCCTCATTTGTCGATTCCGGTTCCACATCTATCTTAAACACGCCACCTCGTTTGGCGATGCTACTTCATCATCTATCTTAAACACACCCCGTCATTTGGCGATTCCGGTTCCCCATATCCTGCTCAAACACGCCCCCTCATTTGGCATTTGGCGATGCTACTTCATCATCTGTCTTAAGCACACCCCTTCATTTCACGAGTCTGGCTCAGGATTTTTCAAGGTCAGAAAGTGAGAAGTCACAAGCGAGACAACACAGAAGTCACAAGCGAGATAATAGAAGTCACAAGCGACTCAGCTGAATCGCGCGTGTTCGGAAGGGTTCGCGTAGACAAGCCCGCCCTCCACTCAGCAATGCACTGCATGCAGCATGGTCATCTCGCACGGCCGATATGCAAGAGTGGGTTTGGTGACACCTTCATGCTGCCCGTGTGCGTGGACTCCTGTACGTCCTCTTGCTCGCGCAAGCCATTAAACCAGGCAGGTGGTTGCAATGCCGCCCTATGCCGCCCTTGCGTCTTGACAGATTCCCAAACCCGGCAAGCACTGCAATTTACAGCACGTCTGCTCTGCCGACCTTACTACTGGGTGACCGTGCAGACACGACAAACACGTAGCTTCAGCTGGAAATCACTGCACTTCATGCCGTGGCGGGAGATGGCGGGAGCACGGCTTCGGAAGGCCATAGCATGCCAAAGCCGAAGGGAGGGTTGGGAAGACGATGCAATGCACAACTCAAACTATGCCCGGCAATAGCGCGATCGTCAGTTTCGGCACTTTCCTCGCTTCTTAGAACGCAGAGATTTCGGGCCAACGCCCAGGACACTCTGAACGTAAGTGCTGTTGCCATACTGTTTGGGAAATTCGCTGAGAACCCACGTTCTCATCCCTACATCCTTACTATGTTGTATACGGTCCTAGCCACCAAAGGTTCCGTTCGGTTGAAAGCGACAGCTGGGCGAACGAGTCTCTGAGAGTTTCGAGTCCACTACCAGCCTGTAGCGCTCGTGTAGAGAAGGCTGGGCCCGGGGTGAAGATAGAGACAACATGAGCACTCTTGGCTGCCAACGGCTCGAAGTCTTCTTGTACCAAAACCACAAGGACCAGCATGCAGAATCTGTCGTGAACCAGACTACAACAGACTACATCACAATAAGCATACCTACTGTAGTACAGTCGCTCCTTGATGCTGATCTCCGCAGCGGCTGATTGAATCAAGTGCTGCACTTCTTCCTTGTCCTCGATGCCTTAATGGCCGAGCTTGATTCCGGAATGCATTAAGCATGCCTTGGAAACGCCTTCCACCATTGCATCCAAAGAAGATAAATGTTGGGGGATCCAGGAACTCTTCAAAATGGGCCTGGGTCCGGCATGCTACAGTACCCATTTCTGAGTACAATCATGTTCCAACGGCCTGTGAGAAAAGTTGAGTAGAGTTGCATGGGACGGACATGTCTCAGAAACGTCAGCTAGCACTTCCTACACGTCTTACGCATGCAGGCTGGCGGCTCAGCTTGCCCTCCTGTTGCCAGAAGTGCAGCGGCAGTAAAGCGCTTTCAAGCGCGTCGAGATGTGCGACGGCATCCTCGTCTGGCTAGAGGACAAGGGCAATGCAGTATGAACAACAAGCAGGAACTTTGACTCTCACACCCGATGCTGCTAACTGACACATACCGAGCAGCTGCCAGCAAAGGTAAGATCCCACCTGAGGTCTCGGAGTCTTGGAGCGCTGGAGAACACGGAAGCTAGCAAAAGCAGCCCTTGCAACGCTGAAAGGCCTTCTTGTGCTGCGTCGTCCAAAGCCACACCGAGCCTCTTCATCCTCATGCAGACATCGATCGAATAGTCTTCGTGCTGCTCATTGCCGTTGGCTCGCATTAATTCTTGTGACATCTTGCGACCACGGTCTCAAAGCCAGTCGCGGCAAAGTTCTCGTTTGCCAGAGAGACACTAGCAGCTGCATTCGCGCAAAGAAGGCCTGCCGACCGAGACAATCCTTCATCTGACACCTTTCCCCATCGAAGTGCCTGCAAGATCTTGCGTCGCTCATCGGCTTGCTGGGCGGCAGCCTGCTTTACAAATGCTCAACATCTCATCTGTCAAGGTCCGAAGACGCAACGACACTAAGAGCAGGAAGGGCACCTTCATTTCCAAGGCCTGCTGTTCCAGGCGCTGCAGGGTGTCGATGTCCAGAAAATCGTACAGAACAAATGCAGTGCAACAGTTTGTGACAGCTATGGACATCGTGACGACCTGAGCATCCAAGAAGGTCTGAAACTCTTAACTAGGATACGTAGTTCGCACATGTAGGCACACGGTCCAGTGTCTACTGAGCAATGTACCTGCGAAGGGCTGCCTTGGATCTTGGATGTGGAGCCACTTTCTGACTGCTTCTGTGCGAGACTCTGCTAGGCCTAGCCATGACTATCGCCTGGATGCTGATCAGGAAGGCATTGACCAGGAGCAGCCCAAGGCCGAGAACAAAGCTGAGCATAAACGAGAGATGCTCCGGCGAGAGGATGATGCAAACAAAAAGCATACCTAAACGATTCGCAACACTCAATAAGCTCCGTTGTGTTGCCTTTCCCTGCTCCTTGAGCCTCATTCTGTCAGCCAAGCGTCAACGTATGCGCAAGGGGTAGCTGTCTTCGTTCATGTCGAAACCACATCCAGCTCCAAGCCTTATTTTGCTTGCATTGAATCACGACATTATGACTGCTGCAGAATACTTCGCTCGACTGCTCGGCTACAGCGGCAAAGATTGCTGCAGGAAGTCTGCGCAAGTTTGTCTGGCACCCCAATTTGAGCATTAGCCGACCTGACACTAGCTCATACCGAAGCTAGTCAACTTTTTGCGAAACTTTCTCTATCCAAGCAGCTGGAACTTGAACCAGTATAGCTCCACTGACGAAGGGGTACGGCGTGCTGGCAGTTCGCAGATGACCTACAATCACGTGCAAAAGCTCAATGTACAACATCGCACCACTTGCCTCCCTCACACATTTCTCGTGCAGGGGTCTGCGTGTTCATTGTTTGTGGACACTCGCCTCAAAACAACACCCTGACCGCCTTGTTCAGAGACCCGCTCACGCTCGTGTTCAGAATTCGTGTGGATGGGCATGACGACGGGACCCCAACAGCAGCTGTCCGGCATGTTTGGCACAAGAAAGTTTACTGTTGCACCCTCTTCTGACAACAAATATCGGTCCTCATCTTTCTACGATGTTTTACGCCTTGTTTCGGACTAGGAGTTGAGCTCCCCCCACGGTCGGGTAGCCACCCTCTGCGCCCCGCTCGTTCCAGGCTGGATCGCACACGCCGAGGGGGGGGGGGAATGGGGGGGCAGTTTCTAGTCTTCGTGGTCTCTGGTCATTGGCACACTGTGGTACTACATACTTCTGCCTGCAGCCTGCAGGGCTTAATTCGGGATCGAAGGGTACCCTTCTGGCTAGCTTGAAGCTCGAGCCCGTGTCGAAACCCATGACATGCGCGTGCAAGAGCCTTCCATCCAAAATAAACAGACTCTCCGTTCGCTTTTGCGGCTATGTCTCGAGCTGCATTGACACAGTCATCGCATGCTGGCCGCCGGCTTCAAGCCCAGGCCCCCGGGTGATGCACAATCTTTATGCATCACTGAATTTCGCAAGCCCCAGCAACCACCAGGGTGGGCGGGAGGGAGAGCTTGAGTGAGAGGTCGCGTCATTCAAGCTTC